ATGACAAAAGTTTTTGTATTATAGCTGTATTTATAAGAACTGACTTTACAATTAATTTTACTTTTCTCAGATTTGTATCCAAGAGAACTATGGATTTCTATAATAGTTGCATTTGAAGTTCATTTTGACCATTATGTTATAATAATCCAATCAGCAAAGCTTTTAATTTCTCACTGTGTTTGGATTGCTTTGGCCACGGATTGGCGGTCCAGCAGGGTGGAATCCATTTCTTGGCTTTTAGTAAAAAAGGGTTTAATGACTCAACTCTCATAGCTTGTTTAGGCAGAATTATTAGTACTAGGTAAAAACCTTGTGGTTTACTTAATACATTTTCTATGCTGCATTTGTTGTTTTCAAATGGTAGCGTGACATTCTTCCAAATCATGCGACTTTAAAACCTGCTGATTTATGTACATCAGCAATTTTAAAAGTCATTATATGCCTTAGAGTTTTCAGGGATACATGAAAATTTTCTAATATATACAGTAAAACTGCTTATATGAGTTATTTATAGTTGGAATATGTAAAAAAAAATACCGGAATGAAAGATGTCTGCGCCACTGATTTCAATGAAAGCTGACATGGAAGGAATAATATGTAATCTTATTGCTTAATGTTGTAACTTTGTGAGGCTATCTTTTATTGTGTTACTATATACAGCTTTGCCCATTACAGTCACAGTGCTTGGGAGAGAGAGATACTCTGAGAAGTCCAAAGTTTATTTGCTCAAGATGGCTTTTCCTCCTTCCACGTCACCTAACGATGCTGTCACACGATACAGAAAATGAGCAGCGTATAACCCTCTTTATCACCATCTTTCAAAAAGGTCTATTTCAAAATTGAGAAGACTAGATTGTATTAATTAAAAATTAAAAATATAAAAAGTTGTGCTGCCATGAAAATATCTCTAGGATTTATTGTGGAGAAAATATGAGTACTTGCCAGTATGTTCATAAAGTAAGCACAAACAAGAGACTAGTAATAGTGATATGTGGTGACAAATGGGTGACTTTGAAAAGGAAACCAGTGTATATGCTTTTGTCCATTGAGATTTTTGAAACCATATGACTATATTAGCTGTGCAAATATGTTATGAAATTATAATTACAAAATAAAAATGACAGATATATTAGCTATTCTTTTAGGTAGCTGTTCTCTGTAGACATAAAATTAACTCTGATACCTACAAAAATAATTTTTATAAATCATGTGCAGACAATGTAGCAAGGAACCAAGAATACTGGTAAGTAGCAATAGATTTATAATTGAAGCGTTTGGTTGCTAGGATTGATATGCTAATTTGACATCTGTTTTTGTATAGATTGTTCATTATTGTGACTAAAATTTCCCTTTCCAGTGTCTATTTTTCTTGAGAATAATCTCCAAGGCTCAGTTCAAACTTTACCTTTAAAAATTAAATAGACATTCCAGTACAATTAACTTCAGGCTTTGTTCTTTCTTAGGAATTCTGATTATGTATCAGGGTATACAAATTAATTTTACTGTATTTTTTTCTATCAATATTTTCCCCAAATACACTGTAAGGTACAATCTCAACTTTCACAGAGCTTATTCATTTTGTATTTCAGCATTTGGCAATGTTTCATACATAGTAGGAAAGCCAAAAAATGTTTTTGAAATTATTGAATAAACAAAATACATATGGTCATCAAAATGGTTACAGGAATATAAAACATAATTAACATCAAATATATATTCTATATGAATCATATATAATTATATAGAATATATATTTTAAAGAAAACTATAAGAACATAAGAGAAAATAACTTTATACTTTGACTTTAAGGTTTACGACTGATGAGGTATGAAAGGAATACAGGAGCAATGTTAATTTTGAACAATGTGCTCAGGCCAAGTTAAGGTAAATAAAGGTTAAATACTTTTCCTGAGGTAAGATAATTCAAAATTTCAACATTTAGGGATTTGAATGCATGTATATTTTCCCCAAATCTACACTTTTTGTAAAACCACTCAGAAACTCTAAACCAGTATTATGAAAATAATTAAAGAACATAGACTAGGAATTCCTACCGATACGTCTACATTTACTCTGCTAATCAGGAACCATTGAACCAAGAAGGATTTTGATGACTGATTAGTACCATATCATTCAGTTATTTTTAGTTCAGCTCACTATTTCTGGAGGATATAGGAGATAAAAAGATAAAACCAAAAACCTTGATTTTTCACAAAGTATATTTCTTGAGAGAATAATACAGGTAGGAGAACAGTTTGTGGGCATTTCTGATGTTAGTCTTTTAAAGATAGTAAGACTATCTGGTGATAGAAATAGTTTGGATTTGCACTTACCAAACTAGATTAGTGAGTTCAGGTTTCAGGTTTAGGTTTCAGGCCCTATTCTACTTTATTCCTTATTTCTGGTTACTTAGTGACATACGTCAAGACTAATATTTTTCATTTGTTTTGTGTGGAAATTTTGCTACCACACCCAGTTAAGTAGTTCTATGATTATCTAATTATGTCTGCTCAAGACTTTGATTCTTAGCACACATCATGGAAATGCCAAGACTTTTGTTCAAAGGCAAAAAACATGAAACTAATTTCAAACACGCGTAGTAAATCAACTTAATTGAACAGAATAAGGAAAAGTTTTTTCTAAGTATCTTTCCGTAAGTTTTAAATTTAATAAAACTGAAGCAGAAAATAAGGAATGACTACTAAGTACTTATTAACATATCTCAATATAATTGTGTGTTCTTTAAAATTGGAAAAATCATGTACCTTAAATCTATAAGATTTAATTATTTTCATACATAACTTATTTATGACTTTTCTGATGCTTTAACATCAGAATGTATGCTAAAAAACTGAATTCTCCTTTGACCTTAAACTGAGTTACACATTTTTCGGATAAAGACTTTTTAGATATATTAAAATAGGTGCCACAAGCATTTATCAGCTAGCTAGTGAGCACATTCTGCCTACTCTGAAAAGGTCCATTCCTTACTTGGAATTGTTTTGACTATAAGTATTCGCCAGAAGTCAAGGAAAGTGAAGAAAAATAGTTTCACCATTTAAACAGTCTTACCAAATGTAGTCTTAAAAATCTAGCCACAGTCATTGAACTAGCTAAACCTTAATTTGACATATCCAATGACAAGTTGAGCTGAAAAAAATAAATGGGTAACTTATGAGCGAGGCAGAATAGGAATCGGAATAGGAATCATTTCTATTTCCATAATACATTTCTTTGAAGGAGCTCAAGGCAAGTGATGAAAAAGATACGACATTATACACAAACTAATTTTCACTCAGAGACCATATCTGAGAACAAGGAATACAAAATATTCACTGGTAGGTGGTTCTGTGTGCTGAGGAATCTTTATTGGTTTTTTTTTTTAAAAACCTGTGATCTTATCCTGACATATGCAATGGTAAGATAGGATTTGTGCATTTCTCTGTTGATTCAACTGAGACCTCTTTGAACTCACTCATATTTAAAGCCTTGTTTATTTATACAAGCACTGGGTACAGTCAGAAGCGCGGGAGGGTGAGAGAATTCACCAGAGACAGAGCCGGGAGCAGAACAGGCAGACTGACGAAACACACTGCTGAGGGGAGCAGTGGGCGGCAGGAGAGGTCTGCGCGCCCTGTGGGACCTTCCCCTGGGCGGCAGGGGATCGAACTGGTGCTGCAGAGGCTGCGGGCAGCTGTACAACCCAGCGCTCAACCGCTGCGCCACCGGGGGAGGCCCCTTAAAGGCTTGTTTAAACTCCATCTTCCATGAATCCCTCTTGAATGCCTCAACTCGAGCTACTCTATTTTCTCTCAGAACTGTCAGGCTTTATTCAGTTAAAGCCTTATATTTAAGAATGCACTAATTGACAACCCTTTTGAAACCAAAGTAGTCATTTCATTGAAATTAAACTCCAGTTTAACAGTTTTTATTCTTGCTCTTTTGCCTGGGGAGTTTTTCCCCCCCTCAAAATAAATGAATTTTCTTGCTAGAAATTCGGAGACTTTAAATGTGACCTTAATGGTCAATTATATGTATTAACTTGACTGAGTCAAGTGGTGACCAGCTGTATGAGCATTAACTTGATGTGTAGTAAATATGTTTCTATATGTGATTAACATTTAAATTGATAGACCAAGTAAAGCAGATTGCACTCCCCAAAGTGCACATGCCTCCTTGCAATTCTTTGAAGGTGGTCTTAAGGTAGGACCTTGGTCTCCTCACCTCAGACCTTTCTTTGCACTTCAGAATTTGTTACTTTGCAGCCTATATAATTATGAGTCAATTATTTCTAATAAATTCCTTTATATAATCTAATAAATCCTGTTAGTTCTGTGTATCTGGAAAGCCCTAAATAATAAACATAAAATAAACAGAAAATGAGTTCTAAAATAATCCTTAAAAATGCTTTTTAAAGTTCTGCAAGAGGAAAACAACCATTGCCATTTCAAACTCCTTTTAAAAATATTTTGGTATTGGGGTCTCCCTGGTGGCACATGGGATTAAGATGCAACCTGTGAAGCTATCCCCAGCCACTGTAGCATGAGTTCGATCCCCAGCGGGCAAGGGAACAACCCAGATGGTGCAGCAGACCTCTCCTGACTTGCCCGCTGCTCCCCTCAGCAGTGTATTTCAGTACATCTGCCTGTTCTGCTCACTAATCTGTCTCTGGTGAATCCTCTGACCCCTCCACACCTCTGGCCTGTACACCGGTTCTTGTATGCATGAATAAATCTTTAATAAAAAAATATTTTGGTATTCAGCCAATGCTTTAATCCATTTGTGTAACTCTTAAGGAATTATGGGAAAATTCATTTTCACCTAGAGGTTCAAAGACTACTCAATTGAGCAGCATTAATCCAAATTATCAAAAAGAGCAAACAATTCTGCAACTTCTCTGCAACCCTAATTGATTGCCTTCCCTTTTCTTTTGCTTTGGTTTTTCAAGAAAAAGATTAAATGAAGGAAATACTAACTCTTAGCTTTCCTTCCTATCACAGAATCTTTTAAGATAAGTGATACAAGAAAGCAGAGTGTCAAGGGCGCTCCCTGGAAAAACAAGATACCAAGATCAAAAGTGGCTGACTGCGTTAAGAAGAGCTAAATACACTTCTCCAAAGAAGACATACTGCAAAGAAGACAATAGGCACATGAAAAAAAAAATGCTATCATCATATATCATTTACAGAGATGCAAATAAAAACCACAGTGAGATGCCCTCTCATACCCATGGAAATGGTACGTATCAACAAAACCAGAAACAAGTGAGAATGTAGGGAAAGTAGACTGTTCTAGCTCCTATGGAAAATAGACTTTTTCAAAATACTAAAAATAGACTCACCACAGGAATCAGAAATTCTACTCCTTGGTATCTACCCAAAGGACAAAAATACTAATTAGAAGGGGTTTATTTCTCCTATATTCATTAGAGCTCATTTACAATATCTAAGTAATACGAACAGTGTAAGTGTCCAAGAACAGAGGAGTAGATCAGAAAAATGTGGTACACACACACTGGAATGCTACTTGGCTATAAAGAAAAGGTAAACTCTTGCATTTGTGATGGCCTGGATGGAACTGGAAAGGGTAGTTCTAAGGGAAATAAGTCAGAAGTTGTAAAATACCAGATGGTCTCACTTACATGTTGTGGAATATAGAGAAACAAAACAAAGGGTTAGTCAGTAATAAATGTTTGACATCTGACTGCAAAACTAAGGGCAACAGAATGGGATAGTGGCAGCATGGGAGTGAAGGAGGAAGAGGGTCCAGAAGAACATGGAGAATTATTGCAGTACTCGTGATGGGCATGGTGTAAAATATACTTTTGTAGAGGTTTAAACCTATAACCCATAAAGCAGATAAAACAACTCAAACCCACTTTTCCTCAGTAACAATAATTTGGAAAAAAAATGACTTGATACATTTTTTGCTCATAATTAATGCTAACATACAAATCATTTGTTACACTTGTCAATTCTTATTCCATATCAATGTTCGTGACTTAGATGAACAGTATTAAAACTGGTTTAATTACCCTTGGAGCTTCAGAGTCTTTACAACATGTATGGGAATCAGATTATTGTGTTTTTACCTGCTGTAATATTGATCTATCAGTCTGAGGAGATAGGAACCTGTAGGGAAAAAACTGTTGCATTCTGCCCTTTCACAATTTGTCATCCCCTCTCTTTAAGAAGAAAGACATGAATCTGACCATCTTGAAATGTATTACAGTGGCTATCTCCTGAGGCTGAGTTGATTCTAATAGTTTCATCAGGTCTTTAAGTCAATGGACCATTCTCATCTGTATCTTTAAGATGTGTATTTACAATGATTTTTAATATAGTGTGTCTTAATCAGTTTGTAATTGCTTTGATTGGTTTTGTATTACTTACAATTGTGGCCTAATAATACTTTCAACATTAATTGAAGATAACACAACCTCTTTAAACCTAAAGGCTTTTAATTTTTTTTCTGTGATATAAGAGTGATAAATAATTCCTTGAAGCAAATGTTAGGATGAAATTTTGTAGAGTAACTGGAGCTTAAGAACATATGACATATAATTTCAGATTATTTTAGAAGAGTTAATTTATATTTCTTAATGAATAGATGACTGTAGGTGTCAAGCCACATTTATATTTGTGGTATACTTCCTTTTGAATACATGTTATACACTGAACATTTGGATCATGTCCTCTAACTGGAACCACTCACTAAAAGGAGCCAAGATTTCCTTGACTTTAGATCTGAGACAGAAAATATACAAATATTGGAGCAGCTTTTTCACATGACAGAAAGCAAATAAGCTATTAGAAAACAACAGAATACAAAAGAAACCTAATGAGTCATGTATAAAAAAAGACTTAATTTCCAAAGAACACCAAAAAAGAATATTAAACACAGATTAAATTGGCCAAAATGCTACTCAAAAAGAGACAGTCAATAAAAAATTCTAAGCCTAACTCTTTAGATTCTATTGGAACTAAATGGAGTACTAATATCTTAAGTCATAGACTATTTAAAAGAAATTATTAACCATTCATCTGCATTTCTTGTACAAACTTCACTTTAGGTTAAGCTAATAGTAATGATTGTTGAAAGAAATTCCTCTTTGTAAAAGAACAATTAATGAATGTGGATGTAAGTGCATAATTGTGAAATCACTATTTTACAGCCTCTATTTTTTAAAAGATAATTATCACCAATGGGCGAAACTGTAAAGAGAATGATGGATGACTTTATTATAATACAGAGGATTGTTTGTCATTATTAAAATCACTAAATTATATTTTTAAAAGTGGTACCATCATACACAGTCTCTATCTATCCTGACAATATTCAATATAAAGCACCTCACACACCTGTTGAGGTATTCTGACCAAAATATTGTTACCTGATTTTAGCTTAGATAATGGCTCCATTTATGAGAAATGCAAAGGGACTTTGTATTGTAAATTTCTTGCTTTAGATTGTGATATCAAATTTACTCAGTAACTTTCAAATAAAAATTGAGATTCAGTTGTTAATTCACTTATAAATTACTTCATTCACCACCAGAGGAAAGAATTATTTCCAAATATGGCACAAATTTGTTACACTGAATGAATAAAACACTATCTTAATTAAATCAAATAAAGTGTCAGAAAAATGGGTGAAACATTCAGTTCCACCCATATTTCATAAATGTTAAATCACTTTAAAATAATACATGAAGGTTTTAAGATGGGTTTTCCTCTTGATGAAGGAGAAAAGTACAGAAATTACATAAAAGGAATAATATAGGGTATAACTTTTGGAGTGTGTGCTATGTCATTAGAGAGGTTTGTCAAGACATCTACTAATAACCTTTTCAATTTAATAGACAGGTTTCTGGAAATTCTATTTCCTCATGATAACTTCAATCCAGTCTGAATCACTCTGGCAGGAGAGGCACCAAGAGTCAGGCATTTCAGGTACCAGAACACACAATGTAAACTTAAAACTTACCGGTTTATATGTTAGCTGTGCCTACTACAAATAGAAAAAGTTTATCTGTACAGATACAATAGAAACCATGAGTTGAGCAGAGTGGCATAGAAAAGAGCACTAGCATTAGGTTCCAAAGCCTTTTTATTTTTGAACATTCAGTTCTTACTACTACATTTTTGATCCTGATTTTCAAGAGATATGCCTACATCATAACATTGAAAAAAGAGGGAGAGTTTTTCCAAATTTTTATGGTAACATTTTTTTCTTAAAATGTTTGAAAGAACTACAATCAAACATTAATTCATGGAATATTTTGATAATTATATGTTGGAACATAACCATTTTACTTCTGCATGAATTTCTGTTGAAATGTGTTAACTTGAATGCTAAAAATTGGGTATTTATTACAACTATCTGAAAAACTTGCCTAGTCCATTTATCAATATGTAATCAATATATATTGATTCACAGGACATCCTTAACAAGATTATAAACCATTCACAGAATTAAATATATATAATGTGTATATATATATATATATAAGTGTAATAAAGGTTACCTAGCTAAATGAATTGCCTGATAAAAGTCTCAGTGCTATCACTGCTACGGCATGGGTTTGATCCCTGGACAGGTAGCTAACCCACATGGCACAGCAAACCTCTCCTGTCCCCCCTACCCCCACTGCTGCTCCCCTCAGCAGTGTATTTCAGTAGATCCACCTGTTCTGCTCCCCACTGTCTCTGGTGAATCCTCTCACCCTCCCCCCCACCTCTGGCCTACATCCCAGTAATTCTATGCAAAAAAACAAACAAACAAAACAAAAACAAAAACCTGAAAAACAAAACCAGCAATAATACAAGATGGTTCAAGAAATGAGGAACCGAGAATAGAGATAAGTAAAAACAAAAATCTAACAATTTGGGGCACTAGATGTGTTACAGTGACCAGAAGTCAGCTAAAAAAGCCATTAGCTATGAAGATGACCTATGATAAGTTGCCCAATAGACTATATCAGAATGTGTACCTCATCGATGCCACATCACTATAGCTGGAAGGAAAAGCAACTATGGATTGTAAAGACCAGATTGACTCATGTGTCTATTGAAATAGTCTAAGAAAAAAAAAAAAGATTTAGTAGTCTTAAGTCTCCCCTCCTCCCATTCATAAATTAGATCTGGCAACAATATTAATGAAATTTTTAAGGTGTACGATACACTCTCCATTCCTTTAACTACGAATGTTAGAAAAAAATAGATGCCTGCTTTGTAAAATAATCACTGCACCTTTCATGCAGGTGCTTTGCACATGTGCATGCATGCACACACACAAAAATGAAACCAAACCTCTGAAGGGCACAGACTGTACTAAAAAATCTGAAGCCTTTGTCCCCGAGTTTAGATCTCACATTTTCTACGAATAACCTTTTTAATAAACTTCTCTCTAAATTGTTTTAGTGGTGATTGTTTCAGTCAACAAAGCAAATAGCCCAAATTACTCATTCAGTTACAGAGAAAGGTGAAATTTAGGTAATGTTTGAGATGAGGCATTTGGTTGGAAACTTCCAAACACATTGAAACTGAATAGTGCTAGTATTCTTATAGACACAAAATTTTTTTTTAAATTTTTTGACTCAGAGGTGATAGATAATCTTGGAGGATATACAAATCTGCTACAGTAGGAAAGAAAGCCAAAAGACTTTCATTGTCTAAAAAGTTTAGAATATTGTAAAGATGGTAAAGCAAGTAAATCATTTTTTTTTTGCTTTTTATCATAACATTTCATTTATGTCTTTGCAAAACTCATCTATCTTCTGATCTATATTATTTCCTTTTGGTTCTCCAGCCCTTATCTTTCAACAAAACTATTAGTACAATTATTGAGTCAGTGCTTAGAAAGGTATCTATCCAATTAATTTTATTCATGCCACGACAGTTTCTCCATTTTTCCTTTACCAATCAATTACTAAGTGTCTAGACTTAGACTCCAAATCCTATAAGAGATCCTATAAGCAGATGCAAAAAGGAATACGTATGACTTTTTAGTTGTATGGGTAGATGTATTCACATGTGAAATATACAAATTGGAGAGTTAATTCTAGCTGAGAGTGGAGGTCAAATAGTTTTATTCTTAAAATACTCAGGAGGAATTGATTTCATATGTAGAAAGAGGAGGAAGTTCAAGAGAAAGGAGTACTTGAACATGTGTAGAATTTTGGAAGTAGTGAACACTCCCAAAATATTGGCAAACATCACTTTTGCTGTGTTATGGAGTATGCATGCAGGGATTTATAGATCAGTAATGGTGACACTGGAGGGAAACAAACACAGATAACTTTATATAATATGATATGTTTCAATTTTATACTGTAGGCAAAGGAAGCTATGGAAGATTTTTAAGCCTTAGAAGAGCTACACAAGATTTGCATTGCAAAAGATCCTGACTTAGACTTGCAGGTCATAGATGGTATCTTTTGGAAAGTGATCATTGAAAGAGTCAAAAAAAGTAAAACCATAACTCATTAAAACAAAGCAAATAAATTTTGAAGGGTTTAAGTCAAAGGCAAACATACATGATTCAGAGACTGAATATATAAATGGACAATGACCACATTATATATGACAATAGCACTCTGATTCAAAACCTCAGCAGAAATCAGACTTAGAAGCTAATTTACAACCTCTATAGCAATCAGCAGAGAGGATCAGGGTTTGGACAATGACTTTCAGCTTCTTAAATTTTTACTATTGTTTCCAATTCAGGACCAAGTAGAGAAAGTCAAATTTGTTCCTCAAATTAATCACCTAAGTTCCTGAACTCACCCCTCCACCCCAAACCTTTCTAGTTAGACTGCTTGCAAACAACCTGCTACTGGGCATTCCTGAAGACTCCCTTCATTTAACTATAAAGCTATTCCATTCTCCTGGTCCTTTGACTTGTTATCAAAGACAAGTAATGATGGCTGATTCCTTTGCTATAACAAACTCTGAATAAATAGCTGTTTGTTGTAATTTAGGTAGCATTTACTTATTTCCATAGTTATCCTAGAAATAATGTCAAAGGAAAAAAATGTGTACCTGAACTGCCTATCAAGATGAAATTCAGCCTTTAACCAAGTATAACACTCACAAAATCCCCTATGTGCCTTGCTGTTTTATAGTTTGTTGAGACTGTATCTATGTTTACACTCAGCCTGATGGTCATCTCTCTCTGAAATTACAGACTAACATGTTTCCTGGCAGGTGGGAAACCATAGAGAATACTCCTCTCTGTATCAAAGGCAAACTCTCTGGACAAAAAGAAAATCAAGTTGGAGAGAGAATTTTACCTTGTTTTATTGATGACACAGAGAAAAGTTGGTCCAAATGGGTGTTAGACTAGTGAAAACCTCAAAACTCACTAATCTTTGAAGTTGCTTTGAAGAACCAGCTTATTGGACCTGTTCCTATGTTCTACACAGTGGTTTTGTTCTTTTATAACACTTTAAGAACATAAAACACAAAAGTGAGAAAAACTGGATGAAAAGGAATGATCTGACTCCACCAAGAATAGGAACAATTACAATAACAAAACCAAGGGAGATATTGAATTGAAATTACATAGTAACTCTGTAAATTGAGATTCACACCTGAAGTTTCTGATTTACTACACACAAATTAAGCACTTCATTTTAGTGGGTATGTTGTTCTGTAGTTTTTTACTTTGCCTCTAGGTCAGAAGAATCAATACCTTTGTGCCTTCACTTGAGAATGGTAACAATATACCTAGGGGTCCACAGACGTACCTTTCTCCTTTTCATGTTTTCAGTTAAGACTTAAAATATAAATTTCTCTTGTGATTCAGTCTTGATACAGTACGTAGATGATATTCTACTTTGTATAGAGAAAAGAAATCCTGTGGAAGGATTCCATTTACTTGCTTTCATTTTTAGAAGAAAGAAAATTTAAAGTGGTACATTACAATTTTGCTAAAATGCAGTTTATTATTTAGGGCATGACCTAACAAAGAACAGAAAAAACTCTTATGATAGACTTGACAACTCTAAACTTCTCTGTATTACTTAAAAATGAAATCAGGACTATTAGGTTTAACATATTGATATTGAAGACAATGAGTACAATTTTTTGAGATTTGACATTTCTTGATGAGTTGATAATTCCTCAATAAGAGATTATCTCCTGTGAGAATTCAACATAAACAAACCTTCTAAAACCAGAAGATTCTTCAGTAGCCTCTTTCCTAGTTGTAACTATATCTGGACAAACTTTGGGGTTTCATCTCAACTTCATATGAGCCATCTAAAACCTACTGAATCAAATGGAGTAAGAAAAATAAAAAAGAAGGAAAATTAGGAAGGAAGATATACTGTTTTTTTCCCCCCAGAAGATTATATATTGTGTATGTAGAAAATACAGAAGAATTAAAGAAAATATTCCTGAAACAAATGACAACAGGTTACAGGATGCAGGATCAGCAAAAAAACAAACAAAAGTCAATTGTTTTCTTTTATTCCAGCAATGAACAACTGGAATTTGAATTAGAAAATACATTGTCTATTAGCATCCAAATTTAAATAGTTCTGTATAAATCTGAGTGAATCCAAGTAAGAGGTATATAAGGAAAACTAAACTTTGATGAATGAAATCAAAGAAGAAATAAATGACTAGAACTTGTCCATATGAAGAATGACTCAATATTGTCAAGATATCAGATTTTCCTAATTTGATCTATAGAATTAATGCAATATCAAAGTCCCAGCAAGTTATATTGTAGATATCAAAAAACTGATTCTGTATTCTATATGGAGAAGCAAAGGCCTGTAGCTAGCACAATTTAAGGAAAAGAACAAAGTTGGAAGAGGGATGTAACTCAATTTCAAAACATACTATAAAGCTATGGTATGGGTGAAGGATTAAACTAAGCTCATCGAACAGAATTTAGAGCCCAAGTATATTTAACTGAAATTTACTAAAAAAGTAAAGGAAAT